GGCCTCGATGTGGTCAGCTGCAGGCGCGCGAGCCGACCCTGGACGAAGTCGAGGCTCTCGAAGCGGCCTTGCTTGAAGAAGATAGGCTTCTTGTTCGTCACGCGCTCCACGATGTGATGGGCCGTGGCAAGGTCAGGAAACTCCAACTCCACGCTGTGCCCCTTTGCGTGGGTGTTGGCCAGAATGCGATGGCAACGCACGACAGCATCCTCGTCCTCCTGATCCTCCCCGCGCCTGGCACGGGCGCGCGCGCGTTCATCACTGCTCTGTGCGGCCCCTGGGCCGTCGTCGGCGTCCTGGCGTAGGCTCGGCGCAGGCATGCTTTTGGGCCTGGGGTGCATAATGATCCGCTCTGGCGCGTCCGCTCGACCCTCCACTGGATGCCTCTGGGCAGGCGCCGACTGGGGAGCACGGCGCCATGGAGCGCGGCCACGACGCTCCTCGGCACTGCCTGCCATGCCAACCCAGTGGACGATCGGTCCATGCACCTGCCTAGGCGCCGGCGGCTTCACAGAGGTCCGCTGGTTGGGCGACGCTGGCTGGCCATTCTTAGGCCCGATCTTGTTGTACGGCTCGCGCTCGCCACTCTTCACCTTGGGGCGCTCCGGGTCGCCACGCCAGTGGCCAGGCTGATCGCAGTCAGCACACCGGCTGTTAGCCTTGCGCTGGTCTGTCGGCTTCCGACCAGCCTGGAAGGAGCCGCTAGCGTTGATCTTCTTGGGGTCCCGCTGCCGAGGAGCAACGAACCCGCGCTTCTGACGCTGTACCGCCGTCTTCTGCTTGGCCCTCCAGCCGGCCAAGAACGCTTCCTGAAGATCCTCCGGTGCCTCGTACTCCTCGTCGTCAGGCCCGTCGTTGTCCGACACCAGCTCCTCGTCGACCTCAGCGCCGTCCTCGAAGAGGGTGCCCTCGGCCCCTCCATGGTCTCCATCGTCCTGGTCGTCTGCTTCATCTTCGTCATGCTGCGCCTCCTCGAGGTCGCCGTGGTGTTCATCGTAGTCTTCGCCGTTCTCTACCTCGTGTACGTGCTGGCCAGGGCGTCCTCGCAGCACGTATGGCCTACGAGCCATGGGAGGGTGCGGATAGCGACCGCCCGAACTCCCAGAGGAGCGCCCGTGCTCACGCTGCGCCGCAAACGGCGAGCGGCGAGGGAGCACTGAGCGCTTCTCGGTGTCGTGCACCTTCGAATAGGCTGCCTTCAGCACAACCTCCATCCGCTTCGAGTCGTAGATGCCGCCACAGTTGAAGAGCACCTGCGCTCGCTCCTTCTGCGACAGTCCAGCGCCACGAAGCATCTTGCTTGCCAATGCGCGATCGCTGATCGCTGATGTGGGATCCTCGAGCTGCAACTCCATGCGCTTCTTGCGCAGGTACGTGGTCCAATCCATGATCGGCTGCCCAGCTCGACGGTGTGCTCGCTCCCAATCCTGATGCACCTGATCGAGGCGCTCGTGATCCATCTTCTCGAAGGCGTCATCGTAGATAGCAAAGATGGTCTCGAGCGTCTCCTCGCGTCGGAGGTCCGACGCGTCAAGCACCTCGATGAGCTCTTTGGCTCGACCTGTCACTTGACTGTAGATGATCAGGCCCAGCTCCACGTCTGAGAGCTGATTGAGGTTGCGGATGACTTCAACCTCCTTGCGCCACTCTCGGTACTTCTTAGTACTCGTACCGACTCCACCATCGAACTCTGGGAGCCTCACCTGCGACAGCAGTAGACGTGTACGTCTGGGACCGCCGTCGCCACGATCCCGATGCAAGGCCAAGAGCTCCCGCTGGGTCTCGGCCATCGCGCGCAGGACTGCATGCAGGTCCGGGGGACCTGTGCCTGCGGAGGACGCAGCCTCCACGTCTGAGCCGTCGTGGCTGGTGGCCATGGCGGCCCGCGCGGGTGGTCACAACCACCGAAGCAGAGCACGCAGTGCGTCCGCTGGAGCTTACCAGCTCCGCTACCAATGTCAGTGCAGTTGTTTTCAGCAAAGACCGCGCGGCAGTCCAACTGCGGGTGCGTCCCAGGGCCCTAGGACTAGGGCCAAAACAGCGGCGGGCAGCGTGCATGCCACAAAACAAGACAAGCGTGTACAACATACACACATGGTGGCACGGGCGGCAGAGGGGCAGGGGAGTGCACTCTTCACAGATGATACAGGCGAGGGCGATGAAGATGATGCTCACGACGATGATGATGGCGATGATGGTGATGATGATGGAACTGATGATTACTATGATGGTGCTGATGATGATGCCGATGATGATGCTGATGATGGTGACCATGACGACGATGATGATTATGATCGTGACGATGGTAATTGTGACGATGCGACGACGGCGATGACGATGATGCTGCTGCTGATGATGATGATGATTATGATCATGACGATGATGATGATGACGATGTTGCTGAAGCTGATGATGACGGTGATCATAACGACGACGATGATGATGATGATGATGAGGATGATGATGATTATCATGCTGATGGTGATCATCACGATGACCCGATAGTGGTGATGATGACGATGATGATGATGACGATGATGATGATGATGCTGACGATGATGCTGCTGATGATGATGATGATGAGGATGCTGATGATAATGATGAAGATGCTTATGAGGATAATGATACTGATGCTGATGATGATGATGATGATGATGATGATCATCATGAGGACGATGATGATGCTGATGCTGATGATGAGAATGATTGCAATGCTAATGATGACGATTACGACGACGAATATGCTGATGCTGCTGCTGACGATGGTGATCAGGGTCATGGCGATACTGGTGATGATTATCATGATGAAAACGGTGCTGGTTCAATTTATGCTGATGCTGCTGCTAATGATGATGAGGGGGATGATGGTGGTGATGATGATTGTGATGCTGGTGATGCTGCTGCTGATGATGATGACGACGATGCTGATGATGGTGCTGATAATTATACTGATGATGATCATCATGACGACGATGATGATGCGGATGATGAGGATGAGGCGGAGGAGGAGGACGACGGATAACATCGAGCAAGGATGATGAGGAGGAAGCAGAGCGAGGTTGCTGCTGCTGATGATGATGGTGGTGATGATGACAATGTCGATGACGATGATGATGATGATGCTGATGATGCTGCTGATGATGATGGTGATGACGCTTCTTCTTTCTCCTCCTCCAACGATGACGATTCCTCCGCCATCCTCCTTTTCTTGGGGTATATAACGGCTTCCCCCGCCCTTTGTTCTTCTGCATGCTCCTCCCGCTTCCCTCATCATCTCAACTCCCCTGGGCCTCGTTTCTGCATGTTTTTTTTTTTTTTTTTTTTTTTTTTTTTTTTTTTTTTTTTTTTTTTTTTTTTTTTTTTTTTTTTTTTTTTTTTCCCCCCCGCAACCGCAGGCGAAGGCGCCGGCGGCTTCACAGGTCGGCTCAGGTTACGCGCTGAACTAATTATTTAGCGCGCGCGCAGGCAACAGCTAAACTTACCGCCGGGGGAAGCTGGGCTGCGCCGAGGGCAGAGGCTGCTACTGCCGGGGGGAAGCGGGGCTGCGCCGAGGGCGGAGGCTGCAAGAGCTGCCAGGGCGGCCAGGAGGCTGTGCAGGCGTGTGGGCACCCCAGGGACGAGGCCACCAGGATGAGTGAATTGGATCTTGTCACATCCAGGCGCCAGAGGTCGGCGCGCCACAAAAGTGGCGAAGCGCGGGGCTGCATAAACAGTCCAACGTGCTTGGCTGCAGACCGAGAGGGGGAACACACATGGTCGATCAAGAAGGCTGAACCAGTCCTGACTGAACCAGCGGTCCAGAATCCCAACAGGCCAGCGGCAACGGCAGACACGGCCAGGCTGTGGCGGTGACTGGGGACCAGAAGCCAGGGAAGTGCAAGCACTCGTGCCGGAACTGGTCAGGACGCACAAGGATGGTGGGGATACTTTTTAGTCAGCGACCGCAGGCGAAAGCGCCAGCGGCGAGTCGAGTCAGAGCGGGCCGCGCAAAGACGAATTGACCTAAAGCCGATGGGTCGGAGCCTCACGCGGCACCTCGGCGGGCAGGCCGGCGAGTGGAGGTGCTGACTGTGGCTGCCAGGGTAGCTGCACTGCCAAGGGTTGCACGCATGCAACGAGCTGCAGAGGGGCCGACTGCCAGGGTGGCCGACTGCCAGGGCCTGCAAGCAGCTGAATTGGATGCAAAGGGTGAGCACCCGAGGGACTGCGAAGTACCAGGGTGGTGGGGATACGCGAAGCGTCAACAACTTGTCAAATGAATTATATCCTGTGGCACTGTGATTCTGGAGCAAGGCCTCCTCTGGGTGCACCTTGGACAGCACGCTTCCCATAACCTCCATCGAACCCACTGTTTGCACACACAGGTAATGCCATCTGCGACTACATTACAGGGCAGTTTTTGATGCATGGGATTCTTAAACTATAGGATTTTTCATGCATGATTAATGTATGAATAAACTAATGCATAAACTCATCCTTGTACTTATTATTCAAACCTTTATTTTTAATACATGGTCCGCCCGTGGAGCATGTATTAAAAACGGCACTGTAAGCCCAGGGTCCGTGCAACAAACGTTGAATCTGAAAAACTGTAGCGAACCAATTCTCAATTCCCACCAGCAACTCCGATCCATAATTGCAGACGGTGTCAGATCCATCTATTAGTACTGCTCCACGGTTGATGCCCCAATTAAGTGATTCATCTACTCAAGTGGCCAAACGAATCGACACACCCGAATCTGGCAAAACAGATCCCTTCCCAAGAGCGCACTATTCCCTGTCGACACCACCCAAAAGTTCGCCGAACATGCGCTGGTTTACGACGCCTCCTGTTTTCAAAGCTCTGCTCAATCCAGTCCTCCCCACTCCTCCTCCACCCTCCTCTTCCTCCTCCTCCTCCTCCTCCTCCTCCTCCTCCTCCCCCTCCTCTCTTCCAGTCCTCCCTCCGCCTCGTCATCCTGTTTCTTCTCCACCAATACTCATCCCTCCCTCCTGCTGTCCTCTGCGGCACCCTTGACGTGCTTGCCCTCGGATGCCTTCTTCAGGTGGTCCTGCAGAGTCTTGAGCCATCCCTGGCTCTCGTCCTGCGGCGCACGCACGGGCGCCAGCAGCAACTACTGCAGGCATGTGCAGCAGCCTCCCCTCCTCCTCCTCCTCCTCCTCCTCGTCCCCATCCCCGTCCCCTTCTCCTCCTCCTCCTGCTCCCTCTCGCCCCTCCATGGCCCTCCCCGCCCCGCCCGTTCCTCCCCCTCCCACGCCCTCTCCCCCTCCCTCCCGCCCCCCCGCCCTTTCCCCTTCTGCTCCAGCTGCCTCGTTTCGTGCCCCTGTCCCTGCTCCCCCCTCGCGCCCCTTCCAACCCCCTGCCTCCCTCCTCCTCCTCCTCCTCCTCCTCCTCCTCCTCCTCCTACCTCCTCCTCCTCCTCCTCCTCCTCCCCCTCCTCGTCCTCGTCCTCCTCCTCCTCCTCCTCCATCCCCTCCTCCATTCCTTCTCCTTATAACTGATTTTTCCCCGTTGCGCTCCGAGGCCGATCGAAAGGGCGGACCGTGCGTTTTGCCTGAGAATTCCTAGCTATTTATGCCCCTGAAGCTTAAACACTGGCCACAGTTTCGCAGATGGAGGGCGGATCGTTTTCAAACTGTGGCTCTCGCCTTAGCGCCGCGCACATTATTTTCAAAGATTTGCAAGCGTTTCACGGATAAAGAGCGGGCCCTTTTCAAAATGTGGCTCTCGCCCTCGCGCCGCGCACATTCGTTTCAAACAGTTGCAAGAGTTTCACGGATTAAGGGCGGGCCCTTTTCAAAATGTGGCTCTCGATTTCGCGCCGCGCACGCTCGTTTTAAACACTTTGCAGTCGTTTCACGCATTAAGGGCGGGCCCTTTTCAAAATGTGGCTCTCGCCTTCGCGCCACGCCCGCACACGTTCGTTTTCTGTTGTTGCTGTTTCTTCTTTATATGTGCATAAGGTGTGTGTATATATGTAGATGAATAGGTATATATATATATATATACTTGCAAGGATTTCACGGATTCCCACGGTCAGCGTATCAGAAATTGTGTTTTGGAAAGACTCAAGAAGATGAGAGTGCAACAGTTACGTTGATTCGCGGTGACGTCTCAAGAACGGCGTTCTAGCACGATTCGGGATCGTCAAGGCGCAACAGTCAGGTTGATCTGTGGCGTTGGAGTGTCAGAGCGCTTCAGGCTCTTCAAACGGTTGTCTTCCAACGAGGCAGTTCTCTCAATGGACATGAACCGTTGTATGGGCCTATGAAGAGGGAACTTGAAAGGGGGGTTAATTCCAACATCGTTGATGACTCTTGGGTTTACACTGGTCCTCCTTCTCCTCCTCCTCATCGTCCTCCTCCTCTTCGTCACATGGCCACACCTCTTCCTACCTCCTCCGACCGCTCTCCACATCCTCAGGCATCCTCTTTCGCCCCCTCCCACCCCTCGCAGGACAGAAGCGGGAGGACAGCGGTGCCCAACTTCAGAGAGGTGCCTCCATCCAGTTGCCCGAACGTCTCAGTCGCCATGCCTGCTGGCGTGATCCCGCACCGCACCACTCCCCAATCGACTGACCGCCCAGCCGCACCTTCTCCTCCTGCCCCGGCCCCTCTGTGGACCCCGGCCCCCCCCCGCTCCGCCGCCTCCCCCCCCCCCGGATCCGCTCGCCTGTGCAACCCGCCCTCCCCATCTCCCCGTTGCCCGAGAGGCCGACCCCGCCCATGTCCTCCCCCTGGGCCTCCCTGCAGCTGGACCCCGGCCCTCCCCTCCTTCCTCCAGGACGTCCACAATTACACAATATGAGTACTACTCTGCTCCATCCTCTGATGGCGTGCGGAAGATAGCGGGCATCCCTCCGCGTACTTTCTCGGTTTTTTCCTCCGCTTTTTTTTTTGTTTTTTTTTTTTCTTCCCCCCCTTCTTTTCAGATTAAACAACAAACAGGATTTCCCGGAGTTGGGTTTTCGCTTGGGTCTTTTCAAACTGATGCTCTCGCTGAGGCGCGGGCTTCATTTTCGGGCTTCCGCTCGTTCCGAATCGTGCTCCCGCTGCAGCGCTGGCCTCATTTCTATGCTTCCGCTCGTTCCGAGTCGTGCTCCCGCTGCAGCGCTGGCCTCATTTCCGCGCTTCCGCTCGTTCCGAATCGTGCTGCCGCTGCTGCGCTGGCGTCATTTCCCGTGCCATGCCACGGCATGCAATGCAATGCTAGGTTGCGCTCCGCTGCGCGATGCCATGCCTTCCGCTGCAGCTGTCGTATCCAGTGCTTAAGTGCCACGTCATGCTATGCCATGCTACGCTTTGATCTTCAACGCCATGCTATGCAATGTTATGTTCGGGCCGCTGTGCGATGCCATGCTTTGCGTTGCAAAGCTTTGTGATGCAATTCTTCACTACGCCACGCCACGCCATGCTGTGACATACTACGCTTTGCGGTGCTCTTCTACGCCATGCCATGCCGTGCTCTACAATGCATCGCGTACCCTTTCGGGATTATTGCCCTGCTCGACATCCGACTGTGCGAGTAGAGAGGGGATCTACGCCATGGTAAGGGATGGGAGGGAGGGGTAGGATGTCAGATATGACGCGAGCGCACCTAGCTTGCCCTCCCCCCCTCCCTCTCCTCCGACCGGCGGTCTGACCTCCCCCCCCCCTCCCTCAACCGCCGCACCTTGGACCCCTGACCGCACACCCCTCCTCCCCGACCCCGCCGTGCTTTGGACCCGCCCCTCTCCCGACCGACCGACCGCCCCCCTTCTCTCCCCATGCGCTCTCTCGCAGCATCGGGGCCCCGACCCCCCCCTTCCCGGATTCCGACTGCCGGTCCGAATCGCCGATCGCACCCTCCTCCTGGAGCTCCCAACTCCCTGGGCTGGGCCCAGACACCCCTGCCCCTTCCGACTGTCAAACCAGCCGCCCCCCTTTTCCCCCCCATCCTTGCCACGAAGCCTCACCCTGAATGGCTGGCCTGCAGCCGTAACTCTGTAGTCTCTGGCGCACGTGATCCCTGTTATCTATTCGTCAGTGTACTGTGTGCGGAACAGAAATGGAGCCAGGGACACGACGACGTGGCCCGAAAATGCTTGAAACATGGACTTCGGAACCCCTCGTACTTTATTGCGGAAAGCGCCCAGACTCGACCCAACATCAACTTGCCATTGGTCCTTGGTGGGCCCGTGGGGGAGTGCGGGCTGCTTCGGGCACCAACCGATCAGATACGCAAGCGTACAACTTTCTGGTTCATGAACGACCGAACTCTTCACTCGCAAATTGGGCTGGCAAGTGCATGCAAGTGCGAGGACGCTGCAATGACGAAGGGGTCCTTCGGGCGTAGAGTCAAAATCGATACCCTCCTGCTCATGTGCGTGTGCGAACCGTAAACATGATATGTACCCCTCCGGCCAGTCGTTCCATTCTGGCGTTCGTGTTTCTTCATGGTCTTGACCTTGGGCACACATAGCTGATTCTGGCAGTGAGCTGATACTGCGAGTATTCGGTTCGTCTAGGGCTTCGCACGACGCCCGCTCTCTTGAGCGTGCCTCCCAGGAGCCCAAGAAAGTGGAGGCAATTGCGCAATTCGCACCCCCAAAGGAGCTGCGAGGTCTCGGGTGCCCCGCTACTCCGCCGTGCCTCCCAGGAACCCACGAAAGTGGCGACGATTGCGCAATTCGCACCCCCGGGGAGCTGCGAAATCTCGGGGTACTCGGCTACTTTGCGGTGTCTCCCATGAGCTTGCGAAAATGGCGACATTTGCGCATTTCGCAACCCCAGGGAGCTGCGAAATCTCGGGTACTCCGCTACTCCGCCGTGCCTTCCAGGAGCCAGCGAAAGTGGCGACAACTGCGCAAGTCGCAACTCTCCAAGCGCATTTGCGAGGTCTCGGGTCCTCCGATACTCCGCCGTGCCTCCCAGGAGCCAGCGAAAGTCCCGACAACTGCGCAGTTCGCAGCCCCCCCCTTCCCCCCGGGAGCTGCGAGGTCGTCGTGCCTCCCAGGAGCCCAAGAAGGTGGCGACAGTTGCGCTGTTCGCAACCACCCAGGGAGCTGCGAGGTCTCGAGGACTTCACTACTCCGCCGTGCCTCCGAGGAGCCAATGAAAAGGAGCAGTGCAGGAGGAAGCAGAAGAGGGGTAGGAGAAGGAGACGCGCGTGCAGTGCTCCATTGAGAGCGAGAGCCCAACACATGAGGGTTGGGAACAATAATACCAAGAGCCCATCTCAAACTCTGAAGATTTCGTGCAAGCTTTGAACATCTTGGGTGCTCTGAACATTTATGCAAAATATTTGTCCAAGAGGGCCTGGAATGAGGAAACGAGGCCGTAACGAGCCCGTAAACGGCCAAGGCCAGCCCGAAGAGGGGCCCAAGAAGGCTCCAAGAGGATTCCAATCCAGTTCCCAATGACTTCCCAGACGGTCAAGAGAGGCCCACGGCGTCCCATGATGGCCCCACATGAGCCCAAGAGAGCCTCCGAACGATCCAGGTAGGACCCATGAGAGTCCCTCAAAGAATTAAGACGAGAAGTGCCACATGTTACGGCCTTCTCGGCAATGCTCCCAGGCGGAGCTTGCCGCAGGCAATTTATTACCCTCTACTCTCCCTCCTCCACTTTCTCCTCCTGCTTCCTCCTCCTCCTCCTCCACCCATTCCTCCACCTCCACCTCCTCCTCCCTTTCCCTCTCCTCTGTCTCCTCCTCCTCCTCCTCCTCTTCCCCTCATCTTCTACCTATACGACCACCCTTCGGGTGATAAGGAGGTTCGGGGGGGGGAGGAACCAACGTCTCACTCGATCGGTCTCACTATCGATCTCACTATCGATCTCAGTATCGGTCTCGCTCGATCGATCTCCCTCGATCGATCTCACAATCGATCTCACTCGATCTATCTCACAATTGATCTGACTATCGATCTCACAATCGACCTCACAATCGATCTCACAATCGATATCACATTCGGTCTCACGATCGATCTCACTATCGATATCACAACCGCTCCCACAATCAACGTCATCATCATCAACAACAACATCAACATCAACATCATCATCACCAACATCATCATAATCGGGACACAGTCCTCATCATCAACACCAACATCATCATCATCACGGTCATCAACATCATCGGGACACCACCATCATCATCATCATTATCATCATCATCACCATCACCACAATCATCATCATCATCATCAACATCATCATCATCACCATCGGGACACAGTCATCGTCATCATCATCATCAGCAGCAGCATCATCGGGACACCATCATGATCACCATCGTTATCATCATCATCATGATCATCGGGGCACCATCAGCATCATCAACATCAGCATCATCATCATCGTCATCATCGGGGCACCATCATCATCATCATTACCAACATCAGCATCAACATCATCATCATCACCATCGGGACGCCATCGTCATCAACATCATCATCATCATCATCACCATCATAATAATCATTATCATCGGGACGCCATAATCATCATCAACCTCATCATCATCAACATCATCATCATTGGGACACAATCATATTCAGCATTATGAACATCAACATCATCATACTCATCATCATCGGGACACCATCATCGTCATCATCATGGTCATCAACATAATCATCATGATCATCATCATCCTCATCATCGGGACACCATCAGCATCATCATCATCGTCATCATCATCATCGACATCATCATCATCATCATCATCATCATCATCATCATCATCATCATCATCATCATCATCATCGGGACACCATCATCATGTCATCATTATCATCATCATCATCGTCCTCTTCATCACCATCATCATCAGCATCACCATCATCATCATCATCATCATCATCATCATCCTCATCATCATCATCATCAGCAGCATCATCATCAGCATCACGATCATCATCATCATCATCATGATCATCATGATCATCATGATCATCATGATCATCATGATGATCATCATCATCATCATCATCATCATCATCATCATCATCATCATCATCATCATCATCATCATCATCATCATCATCATCATCATCGCGGGACACCGCGGGACACCGGCGGGACACCGCGGGGCACCGCGGGACACCGCGGGACACCGCGGGACACCGCGGGACACCGGCGGGACACCGCGGGCCACCGGCCGCCCGGAAGGGAGACATTTGGTCCGGCCGCGCCTCAGCCACACGGGACTTTCGCGGGACACCGGCGGGACACCGCGGGCCACCGGCCGCCCAGTGGAGAATCATTTGGTCCGGCCGCGCCTCAGCCACAGGAGACTTTTTCTCGCCCGTCCACGCAGCTTCGCCTCGCCCGCACGCACGGCACGCACGAACACGAAACCGAAATCGATTTCCCGGTAGGGGGGCTCTCCGTTCCACTTCGATCTCACCCCCTCACCTCCGATCTCCTCTTCCCCCTCCCTCCCTCCTCCGTGCCCTGTCTTCTCTCCTCCCTCCTCTCGCTCACCTTTGGGTCCCTCCTCGCTTTTCTTTCCTCCCTCCCCGCTTGCCCACCTGAAGTCAAGATGCCCTCCACCTCCTCACCCCACCCTGACTCCGCACATCCTTCCCTGCTGCCAATATGTGCGGGCTGGTGTCCTCCTCGTCGTCATCTTTTGCGCTGGCCTTGGCGTCATCCTCGGCCAGAGAGAGGAAGGAGGAGGAAAATGATGGACGAGAGGAGTCTGACGAGGGGGAGAGGAACGAGGAGGGAGGAGACGGAGGGAACAGGAGGAGGGGGGAGGGGGAGGAGGGCGAGAAGGAGTGAGAGAAGAGAGGAGAGCGAGGACGAGGAGGATGAGGATGAGGAGGAATAGGAAGGGGATACTAGATTAGACAAAACCATGCAAAGGCTATGCAGATGTGCGCCGAGCAACCAGTCACCTTGCTGGGAGAGAGTCAATCACAGCGATACTCCACGTGCAGTATGTTGATGAACCCAGAAGCAGGAGGAGGCCAGGAAGAAGGATAGCCGGAGCCCGCAGATCTCGTCCGTGGGGCTGTCGCTGCCCGCGGCTGGCCCGAAGACGGTCCCAGACCCAGCGAGATGCCAATCCTCACCGAGCCGGCGACGCACTGCGGTGGCCGCTGCCGCAGACCCGGCTGCTGGGTTGTGGCCCCCGTCGCTGCGACCATGGGACGTGGGCGGGCTGATGGAACCCTGAGTCAACAACTGTGCCGACGTGCAGGAAACTACATTCGTGGAGCGTGGCGCACAAGTCGGTCGGCGTCTTTGCTAAACAAACGTTATCGTGCGTATACCGGATCGCCATTCTCCGCAAAGACACAAATTCTGGTACAACATCGGACCATGTATGAATCTGGACGTGACCTCGACCAAATCGAACAAGCATGGACATATTGTCCAACCATCGCCCTGGAAACGGAATCGTTGTCCACTGCTGGAAGCAAGTTCCGCCTCCTACCCACGTCATTTTTTGGGGCAAAAGTTTGGAATCCAAATAGAGGAGAATACAATCGTACGCGCCGATATCTCCTGCTGTCTCCTCTGGGAGAGATTGAGCTGGAGGAGGAGGGGGAGGGGGACGCGGAAGATGAGGGGGAAGGAGGATGAGGAGGATGAGGACGATGAGGAGGACGATGAGGAGGAGGAGGAGGAGGAGGAGGAGGAGGAGGAGGAGGAAGAAGAGGAGGAGGAGGAGGAGGAGGAGGCCAGCGGGGCGAAGGGGAGATTGAAGAGGATGACCTGGAAACCGACGGGGACGGAGGCTACGAGGGAGGGGTGGACGGAGTGGAGAGGGTGGAGGAGGGAGGGTCGGAGGCGGGGATGGGGAAAGTCGAAGAGAGCAGGAAGCCTCAGGGATGTGGAGGGGGGCAGGGGGAGGGGAGAAATGAGGGGGAATCTGGGTGAAGGATGGGGGGTTGCCGACGAGGGTGGATGCAAACAGGTGAGGGTCGAAGGGGAGGAGGGGAAGATCGAAGAGCAGGAAGCATCAGGGATGTGTGGAGGTGCAGGGGGAGGGGAGGAATGAGGGGGAATCTGGGTGAAGGGATGGGGGTGGGGGTGGGGGGGCTCGACGGGGGTGGAGGCAACGGGGACGGGGGGGTATCGGGGAGGCTAGGAGGGATGATGCTGGAAGAACGGGGAAGAGGGCGGGGGAAGAAACAGAGCAGAAGGGCGGAGGCGACTGGGGCGGTATTGGAAAGCAGGGTGCAGACTCAGTGGCCAATGGGCGGACGAGGAGGGGGAGCATGAGAATGAGGATGATCAGGGAACGGAGAGTAATGGATAACATAAGGAGGAGGCGGAGGAGGCGGAGAGGAGGATGAGGAGGAGGAGAATGAGGAGGAAGCGCAGGTATTCTGCATCTTCCTGAACTTCCGATCCTCCTCCCACCTCCTTCTCTGGAACATCCCAGAAGCTCCCTCCCCCTCCTCCTCCCCCTCCCTCGTCCTCCCTCTCTTCTGCCCCTTCCTCCACCTCCAACTCCTCCTCCTGTAGCAGGCGCGAGCACGAGAAGCGGCTCCTTGCCACCGAGGCCCAGCGCCTTCATGAGGGCCGAGTTGGGGTCCTGCTCCTTCTCCTTGTCCTGGGGGGGGAGGCGACTCTTCTTCTCTGCTCCTGCCCCCTCTCTCTCTCTCCTCCTACCTCGGAGACAGGCGCGAGTGCGAGAAGCGGCTCCTTGCCACCGAGGCCCAGCGCCTTCATGAGGGCCGAGTTTGAGTCCTTCTCCTTCTCCTTATCCTGATGGTGGGGGGAGGACCAGAGCGAGCCCAACACACACAGCACACACACACACACAGAGACACACGAACGACCGCACGCACGCACGCACGCGAGCACGCACACACACATACACATACACACACCCACACACACACCCACACACACACACCCGCACACCCCCACGCACCCCCACGCACGCACGCACGCACGCACGCACGCACACACACACACACCCACACACACCCCCACACACCCCCACACAGACCCACACAGACCCCCACGCACGCACGTACGCACGCACGCACGCACGCACACACACCACACACACACCACACACACATTCACACACCACACACACACACCACACACACACACCACACACACCACACACACACTACACACACTACGCACCACACACCCACACATCACACACACACACACACCACACGCACAAAACACGCACAACACACACGTTCTTGGCGGAAGCGGCCTCGAGCGCGGCGACGAGGCGGAGCCAATAGAAATACTGAGCGCGGGGTCACGGCCGGATCCTCAAGAATCGCTCTGGATTCCGCAGCACCTACCGCCCTACAGCACATCGAGGCGTGGATGGCAGGCACAGCGCACACACACATACGCCAAACGACACACACACACATCATACACACATCCCCACACACAACACATCCAACACACAAGCACACAACACAGCACACATACAGCATACACAGCACGCACACAACACACAACATGCAGACAGCACTCAGAGCACACACAGCATGCGCAACACATATACATCTAAAACACAGACAACAAACAACACACGCACACAACACACAAACCACGAACGACTCACCACACACAACCCACAATATACAACACATACACATCACGCACAGCACACACACAACACACAACACACAACACAGCACACAACTCACCATACACCCCGTACACACCACACCGCACACAACACACAACACACAACACACACCACACACACAACACACGCACACAACACCCACACACCACACAATCGCCGCACAAACACATTCAAACGCACCTCACCACACACAACACACAGTCCACACGCATTCCGCACAACATACACAACACATTCATCACACAACACACCCACACAGCACACATCACACGGCATACACACAAACACAACACGCAACATACATCAAACTACACGCCACACAATACACAACACCCACACACCACGCAAACACCACACGCGCAACACACACACACAACACACACCCACCCACACGCACACACACACACACACCGCACACACAACACACAGCAAACAAGACACACGCATCACACACAACTCCTGGGGCCCCGGGGCAGCTTGAGGACCTGGGAAGGCCTGGGGTGGTGGCACCTCCCTGTCACCGTACCACAACTCAAACAGACTCGGGGAGTCTTGAAGAGTCGTAGCCGTGTGGCCCCGGCACAAGAAGTGGTGGCACCGCAACTGGGAGAATGCAGCCCTTTCCGCTTCACAGTGCGAGCCAGCGTTTTCGACCACAGGGCGTGACAAAAGCGCAATGAATGTAAGAACGACTCGCGAATTGAAGGATACGATGCGCGATGCTGCAACGAAAGCGCGATCTTGAAAGCCAGCCGCCCTTCATCCGTGCACGCGGCCGCTGGAAATTCAAGCGCGAAGGCCCCATGGTGACTACGTTACACAGGGCCAGGACATGGAAATTCCACGCCTTCAATCTTGGGCACCTTAGCCTTCGTTCTGTCCCGCGCGGGGGAAGCGGCGTGCTTTTGCACTGGTTCCCAGAGGGGGTCCCTGGGTGACTCTGTAATGCAACCTATGCGGTGCAATCTATGCGGTACAACCTATGTGGTGCAATTCACTTTGCCTGTCTTGAAGCTGTTCTCTCCTCTGCTCGTGCAAACATCCCACCCTCCCACCCGCAACTTGGTCGCAAGACCTCTTAAGACCGTGACATTAGGTACCGAATGGCACTTGGCAGCGACACCGAGGCCGACGACGACAGCGACGACGACGACGACTACGACGACACCAACGACGACTCGACGACGACGACGACGACACCGACGACGACGACGCCGACGCCAACGACGACGATGACGACGCCGACGACGACGACGTCGACGCCGACGACGACGACGCCGACGACGACGCCGACGACGACGTCGACGACGACGACGCCGACGACAATGACGAAGACGACGACGACGTCGCCAACGAAGACGACTGGAGGAGGGAGGACGACGCCGGCGACAATGACGACAACGACGAGGGAGGAGGGAAGACGGCGACGATGCGAACGACGAAGAAGGAGGGAAGCCGGCGACGCCGACGACGACAACGACGAGGGAGGAGGGAAGACGACAACGACGACGACGACGGCGACAAAATGGGAGGGACGCCGACGAGACGCCGACGACGGACGACGACGACGACGACGAGGGAGGAGGAAGGACGACCACGGCGACAACGACGACGGAAACGACGACGACGCCAAAGAGAACGACGACGACGAGGAAAGACAGAGGACGACGACGGCGACGACGACGACGACGAGGGAGGAGGGAGGACGGCGACGACGACGACGACGACGCAAGAGCGCGCGCGCACGCTTTTGTTGAAAATCCGTGTTGCGAAACCCTGTGTTTTTGTATGTTTTTTGGACACTCGATTTTGAAATCCTTCCGAAACCGAAGGTTTTGGAAGGATTCCAGCATGCGCGCGCGACGACGCGCGCGCGTGCACTTTGTCTCATTTTTTGCAAAGGACTCTCGCGACGGCACGCGCGCAAGGGCGTTCGAACGACTTCGACATGCGCGCGCGAAGCCCGTTTGGTAGTATTTTCTGAACTTCTTGAAAAAACCTATGGTTTCCTCAGATTTCGCAAAAGCGCGCGCATGCTTTCTTTGAAAATTCGTGTTGCGAAACATTTTTTTGTTTTAAATCTCGATTTTGACATCCTTCCGAAACCGAGAGTTTTTGAAAGATTTCGGCATGCGCGCGCGACGACGCGCGCGTGTGCACTTCGTCCCGTTTTTTGCCAGGGATTTTTGAAAACTTCTGATTTCGGATGAACGAGTGTGCGCGCAGAGTTTTTGATGCAGAGGATGGCGGAGGGTGGGGCGATACCGGCCCTCCTGGGATAGTGTAAATTCATATTTCGGATTGCCGATGGGGCAGAATCATATGTAAATTGCAATACGACAAAGGGAACCGTTAAGTCTGGGGCAGGGGGGGTGGTAGAACCTATCTCTTGTTTACACAAGAGAATCTACGCGGTGCAACCTATGTAATGCAATTTACGCGGTGCAATCATATCTGAAAAGTTCAGCTTGACCGTGCATGCAATAGGAGCTCGACCACAAGAAACCTTCCACAAGAAACCAGACCCTGATACCCCAGGAAGTCCATGGATTTCTGGTGTGGGAACGTCGCGCTCTCCACAGCAGAACCATCGACACCCAAGACACCCAGGGCACCCTGGAGGCAAGCAAGGTGTTTCTTGGCATGGGTTCCCACTGTACGTGAACAGGCACATGATAATACGACACATGCCCTGACTCGAATCGAATGTCCTCTGCGGGCAAAACACATTTCCTCCCAACCCGGCCTGAACAACGATTTCCGTCTCGGTCCTGCTTTCGTTCTCCCTCGCTCCGTCATCGTTCCGACTCTATTGCAAACCAGCCTCAACACAAACACGGCCCAAGAAGAGGAAGAGGGGGAGGAGGAGGAGGAGGAGGAGGAGGAGGAGGAGGAGGAGGAGGAGGAGGAGAAGGAGGAGGAGGAGGAGGAGGAGGAGGAGGAGGACGAGGAGGAGGAGGAGCCATTACCAGATCCCCCCTCTTGCTCCTGCTCCTCCTCCTGCTCCTCCTTCCCCCCGCCCCCCGTTCGGCCGCTCCCCGCCAGAGGAGGGTGCGGCGAGAGGCTCTCGGGCACACGTGGGGGAGGGGGAAGGAGAGGGAGGAGCGGACGGGGGATGGATGGATGGATGGTGATGGTGCTGATGGTGGTGACGACGAGGAGGACGATAATGGCGACGACGATGATGACGCTGATGATGATGCTGATGATGAGGATGACGATGATGATGCTGATGATGATGGTGCTGATGAGTATGGCGATGCTGATGCTGCTGATGATGCTGCTGATGGTGAAAACTGATGCTGCTGCTGATGATGATAGTGATGATGACGATGATGATTTTGCTGCTGCTGATGATGTTGATGCCATTTCCGCCGGCTGCTGCTTGTGACGCTCTGGTTGAAACCTCCATATCCTCTTTCTCCTCTTCCGCCTCCTCCTTTCCTCCCCCCTGCTTCGCCCCCCCTACAAGAAGCATGCCGAGGGACTCTGCAAAGAACAAGATGAGGAGTATGAGGAGCGACGGATAGAACGGAGGGAGGGAAACAACGAACACAATGAGGGTGTAGAAGGCTGAGGGGAGGAGACCAGCAGAGGAAGGAATGCCGACAGAGGAGGATGGAGGGGAGGACGAGTAGGAGGAGAAGGACGAACCATTCGGATTCGAACCGCCCCTCTAGGATCGCGGGACGTCCAACTCACTTGTTTTTCGCCTCCAACCGCTATGGCGACTGAGGTAGAGCTGGATGTCCAAGGAGAGCGGAAGGCCCACTCCACATGTGGTTCCTCAGATAGGCCTACAGCCGCTCGGACTCGACCCCTATTGGGGATCCTTGGGGAGCCCTCGGGACGAGCTATATATATATATATATATATATATATATATATATATATATATAGGTGCAAGTAGAGCGGGAGGTCCACACCACCCGTGTTTGCACAGGTTAGGCCGTTCAGACGCCCAGACTCGAACCTCTATGTGGGAGAGCCCTTGAGATGAGCTAGAGGTGCGGGTAGAGTGGGAGGTCCAGTGAACATGTGAAGCATGAGGCTTGAGGATGGCCGCCTGGATTCGATGCCATCGACGGGAGCTCCAGAGGGGCCCTCGGGAGGAGCTGGAGGGCTCATGAGGGAGCAGGAGGTTCACAACGGCTATGTTTCCACAGGGTAGGCTGATAACCGCTCGGATTCTAGCCGTTCGGCGGGAGCCCTCAGGGGCCCTTAGAGCGAGCTGAAGATCCAGGAAGGCGGGAGGCCCACTCCACCTGTTTTAACAGGGCGAGCCGATGGTCGTTCGGATCTCAATTCTCCAGAGGGAGCTCTTGGGAAGGGTGCTCAATCAGTGCTTTACAAAGGCCCGCGCCTGAGTGATAGTGTGATGGTGGTGGCGACGAAGAGTGGTGACGACGAAGAGTGGTGGAGATTGTGACAAATGTAAGTGAGGATGAGAGTAGTGATGTCAGGCATATGGGTGAGGACAAAGGCGATTCTAAGGATGAATGCGGACACGGGCGGGGAGTGTCTACGGCTGGCGGTGAGAATGCTTGGGCATGATAACGCTGAGTATGACACCGGCAGTGAACATGAGGACGGATGGGAGAGATGTTGACGATGGTGGTGACGAAACTTATGATATTGAGCTGGTGGGAGTGATCTTGGCGAGGCGGGTGGGAGTGAGTGGGCTCCTTCTCGCGGGGTGGGGTGGGGTGGGGATTGTGGTCGTGTTTGGGGGGGGGGCTAGATGCATCCATAACATCAGCGCGATTACGGGGACAAGTCTCGACGGACCACTGGGCCCTCCTATGACGAAACCCTCCATCCAAAGCCTTCTAAACAGCTGTCTGAAACCTCCTCGAACAGTCCTCCTGCACCTTCTTCTGCTTCCCATCCTCTTTCCTCCTTCTTCTGCTTCTGAGGCAAGCGAGAGAGCAAGAGATGGCTCCTTGCCAGCGAGGCCCAGCGCCTTCATGATGTCAGAATCCTTATCCTTCTTCTTGTCCTGGGCCCTCTCGTCATCCTCCCCCTCTCCTCCTCCTGCAGCCTCCTCCGCCTCCCCCAACTCTTTCTCGTCCTCCTCCTCGTCCTCGGCCTCCTCCTCCTAATCCATTCCTCCTCCCTCTCTCCCTCTTTCCCTCCCGCCCATCCTGCCTCTCCCTCCCCTGCCCTGCCTCCTTCTTCTTCGCCCTGCGCCACAGCCAGAGGCGAACCGGCGAGTTTACTCCCCACGCCTTAAAAGGAGGGAGTCCAGCGGGAGACACCTCCCCTGACCCCAGATCCCTCCTCTCCCGTGTTTCTTCACGGGAACCCGCTTCGCGGGAAAATGCAAAACTGAAAATCTGGCCAAACGTACACGAAAAGCACTCCACCCCGTCTCCTAGCTACAACGGCAGACGAACCCGAAGGCAGTCGTCGGCCCAGCAGTCGAGAGATGGGAGAAGGTGGAACCCCTTTCAGGTCCTTTCCGAGTCTGGCCACAATGCAACCCCTTTGGGCATTTCTCCATCATCAGGCTCCCTCAATGTGAGTCGTCCTCGTTTGTTCAGGCGCTTCTCACAAGGCTCAGACAATTTCATAACCTTAGGCCCTTTGGGCCGCGCACATCCTACAAAACCAGAAGTCCACGATCGTTCTCTAATGTGTGAGCGCTATGGATTTGGAAAGGTCGCTTCTCGCACTCCTGCTGGCAAAAATCTAGTAATCCCGCCTTGAAACTGACTCGAAGGCAAGCTAACACATTTGAAACCCTTGGGGGTTTCCTTCAGGGAGTGGGAAGTGGTTCGAGCCGCTGCAGCTCGCTTTCCAACCAAAGCCTTGGAATCCGACTTCGTTCTGGCCGCAACGTCTCCCTTTAGGGTCGTGCCGTAAAGATCCTTCGCGCCTTTGGCTATTTCAAGTGAACCACTTATTAAGCGTCTCAGCACTCTCCAGGCAAGCTTGTCAGCCTCTCGCACTTGAAAGACTAGGGGGTAGGGCGGCCCAGCTTCCTCCGTGGCCTTGTCAGCCAGCTTGTCTGCAGCGTCATTGGTTGCCCAATCGACGGCCGAGATGCTGTGTCCCACTTCGCGTTCCTAAAGATGGCTCTTCACCTTGCGGAACACCGCATTTCCTTGATGGGGGTATGGGGGTCTTGGGCCGCCCAAAACTCTCGCCACAAATCTGAATTGGAAGAGTGGGTGGCGTTTCTGCCTTGGTGGATCCCTCGGGTAACATAGCTGGCATCCACCACCACCCTGGCGTCACTTGTTTCCCCCCCCCTAACACATGCAAAAAAGTCGGCCCCGGGTACTGCCTGCCTCGGGCCTGCAACACTTCGTCGTAGGGATGCTTTCACCTCTCTCCTTCGACGTAGACGGCGAACGACCATCCAACCTTGCTCAGGCGAGCATCCCTCGAGTGTTCTCCTCCAGAGCCGTCTGTGCCTACAGTGGCCTCTGGCGGGAGCTGTAGTTGGCCTTCGATGGGCCAGTCTCCTTCAAAAACCGTTTCTTCGGTGGGGGGCGGGATGTCCGTCCCAGCCATGGTCCATAAACTAAGGAACAAGCCTCGTAACCAGAAGCACGGGTACGTTTCGGCCCCCGCCCCGGCCTGATCACAGAAAGCCTCATCTACTTCCAGCTCTGGAATGTCGGCGTTGGCCGGGCATTCCCAGAGTTGGTGATACATGGATGCTTCTGTTACTGTACATCTTGGGCAAACCGGGGGACCCCATCGAGTATTTTCAAAATCTCTCTGCGCGGGCCGCGAGGCCCCCTGGCTGACCATCTCTAGAACAGCAGCTAAATTGGTTAAACCTTTACTTCGCAGGCTTTTCAAGTGGACCCAAACCACAGTCAAATTAACCCTAAACTCGGCTCCAGCCCCCGCAAAATGTTTACTCGCTTGGGCCCGCAAGCTCTGCTCCAGGGAGGACGCCATTTCATATTTCAGCAGGCCTGGTCCATTGGGGACTTCAAAATTGATTTTCTCCCCCGCGGAATGGTCCATTCCCCATGGCGAATTGGGTGTCCACCTCATGTCTAAGAGGGTTCGATTCCAATCCAGGACATGGGCCTGCCGGACCGCCAGATGGCTGCACTCTGCGTGGATGCGCTGCCAGGCCCGTTCCAAATCGGTGCCGCGCGCCTTGAGGCCTCCGCCCCAGGGGCAGCGCCGGGCGTGGCGGGTCTTCTTGCGGAGGGCCTCGCCGCAGCGCTGGCCAGCCCGCTCGCTGGTCCGCGCGCGGTTCCAAACGGCCCGAGGGTCCGGGCCGTGGCCTTGTAGTCCGTGTGGTCCAGCTGCTCGCGAGGCTGCCCTCCTCCCCTTCCTCCTTCTCCTCCTCCTCCTCCTCCTCCGTCTCGTCCTCCTCCTCCTCCTCCTCCTCCTCCGTCTCCTCCTCCTCCTCCTCCTCCTCCTCCGTCTCCTCCTCCTCCTCCTTCTCCTCCTCCTCCTCCTCCTCCTCCTCCTCGTCCTCCGTCTCCTCCTCCTCCTCCTCCTCGTCCTCCTCGTCCTCCTCGTCCTCCTCCTCCTCCCCCTCCTCATGCTCCTCCTCTTCCTCCTCCTCCTCCTTCATCTCCTCCTCCGTCTCCCGGGCGCAAGGCAGCGAGGAGGGCCGCTCCTTGCCGGAGAGGCCCAGAGCCTTCATGAGCTCCGACTGCGGGTCCTCCGGATCCTGGCCGCACCCGCCGCTGGCGGTGTGTGTGTGTGTGTGTGTGTGTTGTGTGTGTATATATATAGATATATGTTTGTGTGTGTGGGGGTGTTCAATCGCCTAACGCACCCCGTTTTGCTTTACTCGCCAGCGCAGTCCCTCTGACCAGCCGCCGACGCAAAAAGGGTGTATGTGTATGCGTAACTGTGTGTGTGTGTGTGTGTGTGTGTTTGCGTGTTTCTTTGTTTGTGTGTGTGTGTGTGTTTTTTTTTTTTTGCTCGCTGCCTCGCTGCCCGGGCGCCGCACCCGGCCACTGCTCCGTGAGGGGTCGGCCGTCTCGCCTTTTACTTGCCTCTCGTTTGACTATTGGGCGCGCGCGTGGTGCGTCTGATGGTGGGGCGAATCGCCCGCCCGCGACGACCTACAGGTGTATGCATGCATGTGTGTGTGTGTTTGTGCGTGCCCTCCTACTCCTCCTTCTCTCCTCCTGCCTCTCTCCTTCTTTCCTCCGACTCTCCACCTCCACCTCCGCCAATCGACCTCCGAGTGTGGTTCAGGTGTTGGTTGTGGTGGACATTCTTCGAATTACGTTTCATGATATCGAAGTCTGACTGTCACTAGAACTGGTCTGAACGTACCTGATAATCGGTGACTTCCGAATAATATCATTAATGTCGAACTATGACGATGACTATAACTGGTTTTGGTCCTGGTCCGGGTGAGGTTGGAATATCATTACTTTGCGACTCTGACTATGACTGTCACCAGTCATGGTTTTTGTCAAGGTCGAGTCACACTATTCGATTCCATTCAGAATAATGCGACCAATCCAGAACCATGATCATAACCAGTCCTGGTCACAGTTGTGGTTCGAATTGCGTAAATATCGTTAGAACGTTAGCAAAACCAATCGACCCGAACCGCAACTGTGACCAGGACCAGTCCTGGTCACAATTGCGGTTCGGGTTGCTTTGATATTACAATAATATTATTGACGCGCATCGACCCAAACCAGAACCGTGACCAAGATCAATCTTGGTCACAATTGTGGTTCGGGTTGCATTAATACTGTTAGAACGTTATCAAAGCAAATCGACCCGAACCAGAACCGTGACCAGGACCAGTCCTGGTCACAGTTGCGGTTCGGGTTGCGCGCATATTGCTAGAATATTATTAATGCCAATCGAACCGAACCAAAACCATGACCATAACCAATTCTGGTCACAATCCTGGTTCGGGCTGCAGTGCTGTTTTAATGAAATTATGAATGCATATCGACCCGAACCAGAACCGTGACCCGGACCAGTCCTGGTCACAGTCTTGGTTCGGGTTGCGCTAAAATGATTCTAATATTATTAATGCCGATCGACCCAAAACCCAAACCATGACCCAAACCAGTCCTGGTCACAATTGTGGTTCGGATTGCATTAATATTTTTGAAACATTATTAATACCAATCGACCCGAACCAGAACCGTGACCACGACCAGTCTTGGTCACAGTTGTGGTTCGGGTTGCTTGTTATTATCTGAATATCTTAATGCCAATCGACCCCATCCAGAACCATGACCAGAACCAGCCCTGGTCACAATTTTGGCTCGGGTTGCATTGATATTATTAGAATTTCATTAATGCCAATCGACCCGAATCAGAATCGTGGCCTGGACCAGTCCTGGTCACAATTGTGGTTCGGGTTGCGTTGACATTGCTAGAATATTATTAATGCCAATCGACCCGAACCAGAACCGTGACCAGGACCAGTCCTGGTCACAATTGCGGTTCGGGTTGCATTAACAATATTGGAATATTATGCGTGCCAATCGACCCGAACCAGAACCTTGACAGGACGAATCCTGGTCATAATAGTGGTTCGGGTTGCATTAATATTATGGAATATTATTAATGAAAATCGAACCGCACCAGAACCGTGACCAGGACCAATCCTGGTCGCAATTGTAGTTCGGCTTGCCTGAATGATGCTATGACATTATCATCAATGCCAACCGACCCGAAACAGAACCGTGACCAAGAACAACTCCTGGGGAGGGAACCGATTGAATACTGTGTGTGGCGTTAGTCACGGAAGCTGTTGAATACAAGGTTCTTCGCTGGAAACGGAGGGCGTTGGGTGAAGTGCTCTGTCAAGTTACATTTCGGGGAGGAGCCCGTCGAGTATTGGGCGCGGCCTCGGGCGCGGAGGCTGCTGAGTACAGGGCGTTGCGTTGGAGACGGAGGACTCTTTTTAACTCAACTTGGGGAGGGGCCTCGCTCAGCAGAGGGCGACGCGCAGCAGAGGGGCGCGTCTAGCACCAGGGACTTTTGAAATCAACTTAGAGAAACGCCTCGCCCAGCTGAGGGCGACGCACAGCGAAGGGGCACCTCTAGCACCCGAGACTCTTTCTAAATCAACTTGGGGAGGGGCCTCGCCCGGCAGAGGGCGACGCGCAGCAAGGGGGTCCGTCTGACATCAACAACTCTTTTCAAATCAACTCGGGGAGGGGCCTCGCCCAGCTGAGGGCGACGCGCAGCAAAGAGGCGCGTCTAGCACCGAGGCCTTCTTTTGAATGAACTCGGGGGGGGGGGCTCGCCCGGCAGAGGGCGATGCGCAACAGAGGGGCGCGTCTGGCACCGGGGATTCTTGTCTGAATCAACTCGGGGAGGGGCCTCGCCCAGCAGAGGGCGACGCGCATCGCAGGGGCACCTGTGGCGCCAAAGACTTTGTTTGAAATCAAGTTGGGGAAGCGCCTCGCCCGGCAGAGGGTGCTGCGCAGCAGAGGGGCACGTCTAGCACCGAGGACTCTGTTTTAATCAACTTGGGGAGGGGCCTCGCCTGGCAGAGGGCGACGCGCGGCAGGGGGCGCGCGTGGCGCCGAGGACTTAAACCAAACATCAACTAGGGGAGGGGCCTCGCCCAACTGAGGGCGACGCGCGGCAGAGGGGCACGTCTAGCACCAAGGCCTTCCTTTGAATGAACTCGGGGGGGGGCTTACCCCAGCAGAGGGCGACGCGCAGCAGAGAGGCGCGTCTAGCACCAAGGACTTTTTTGGAATCATCTTGGGGAAGGGCCTGGCCCAGCAGAAGGCGACGCGCAGCAAAGGGGCGCGCCCGCCACCGAGGCCTTCTTTTGCGTGAACTTGGGAGGGGGCCTCGCCCGGCAGAGGGCGATGCGCAGCAAATGGGCACGTCTAGCACCAAGGCCTTCCTTTGAATGACCTCGGGAGCGGGGGAGTGGCGCCTCGCCCAGCAGAGGGCGATGCGCGGCAGAGGGGCGCGTCTAGCACCGAGAACTCTTGTAAAATCAACTTGGGGAGGGGCCTCGCTTGGCAGAGGGCGATGCCCGGCGGGGGGTGCCGCGCGACAGACGGGCGCGTCTAGCACCAGGACTCTTTCAAAATCAACTTGGGGAGGGGCCTCGCCCGGCAGAGGGCGACGCGCAGCAGAGGGGCACACCTAGCACCGAGGCCTTCTTTTGAATGAACTCGGGGGGGTGCCTCGCCCCGCAGAGGGCGATGCGCAGCTGTCGGGCGCGTCTAGCACCGAGGGCCCTCCTTCGAATCAACTCAGGGAGGAGCCTCGCCAGGCAGAGGGCGGCGCGCAGCGAAGGGGCGCCTCCAGCGCCGAAGACTTCTCCAAAATCAACTCGGGGAGGGGCCTCGCCCGGCAGCGGGCGACGCGCAGCAAATGGTCGCGTCTAGCACCAAGGCCTTCTTTTGAATGAACTTGGTGGGGGGCCTCGCCCAGCAGAGGGCGCCGCGCAGCAGTCGGGCACGTCTACCGCCGAGGACTTTTTGGGGAATCAACTTGGGGGGGGGGGCCTCGCCCGGCAGAGGGCGACGGCAGCAAGGGAGCCCGTCTGACGTCAAAGACTCTTTTTGAATCAAGTCGGGGAGGGGCCTCGCCCGGCCGAGGGCGACGCGCAGCAGACGGGCGCGTCTAGCACTGAGGGCATTTTTTGAATGAGCCCAGGGGGGGCCTCGCCCGGCAGACGGAGATGCCCGGCAGAGGGGCGCGTCTAGCACCAAGGATTCTTCCTGGAATCAACTTGGGGGGGACTCGCCCAGCAGGGGGCGACGCGCAGCAGACGGGCGCGTCCAGCACCAAGGACTCTTTTAAAATCAACTTGGGGAGGGGCCTCGCCCAGCAGAGGGCGACGCGCAGCAGACGGGCGCGTCTAGCACCGAGGGCTCCTTTTGAATGAGCTCGGGGGGGGCCTCGCCCAGCAGAGGGAGATGCCCGGCGGAGGGGCGCGTCTAGCACCACTGACTTTTTGTTTAATCAACTTAGGAGGGGGCCTCGCCCAGCAGAAGGCGACGCGCAGCAAATGGGCGCGTCTAGCACGAAATACTCTTTTAAAATCAATTTGGGGAGGGGCCTCGCCCAGCAGAGGGCGACGCACAGCAGAGGGGCGCGTCTAGCACCGAAGACTCTTTTTAAATCAACTTCGGCCACGTAGGCGGTCCCAAAAGGCAGCGAGCGGCGGTGATTCGCCGTGGGCGTCTTCGAGAACGCGCCCCGACGCACAATGTGGGCGCGGGAGGGATCACAAAGGTGGGCGCTCGGATGTTGGCCTCCGAACCTCGCGGCAAGGGGGCGGAAACTGAGGACGAGGAGGAGGGCTGTGATATGAGAGAAGCAGACAAGGAACGGCGGCGTCAGTGACAGCCGCGCTGGTAGCCGAGCACCCGAGAGAGCCCCTCGGCATGCGTCTCGGGGCCCTAGCCCGCCCTCGGGACACAAGTGATTTGAAAGGGTTTCCTTCTCCTCGTCGTCGTCCTCCTCCTCCTCCGCGTCCTGCTCCTCCCCCCCTTCCCCTTCGGGGGAAATGTCCATTGGTTTTGTCTTGCCCGGTGTATCCGAAACCGTACGGGGCCCCCAAGAGGCTCCCAAGAGCCAAGAGAGGGGGAGCCTGTGGAGTGCTGAGCGTTGTGTTGGGCAGGGAGGCCGTCGAGTATTGGCTGTTGTGTTGGAGACGGAGGGTGTTGAGTATAATAATAGTTTCAAGTTACCCTTCGGGGGGAGCATGTGG